ACACACACACACACACACACACACACACACACACACACACACACACACACAAACCTGCGATGCGATACCTGTTAAAGATTCCTTCACTAGTTCTGTCTTTATTCCACAGCAGCCAATGTTTTACACCAATACACAATTGAATCAAGATGCACCGAATAATCTACAAAAACTTCAATTAGAAAACCGTCCACGAACTTCAACTCCCAGAAGGTAAACCTACACTCAAACAATGCGCCTCCTCTCCGGTTTGTAAAGTAAAATAAAGCTACCCGTGAAAGCAGCCAGGTAGTAGAGCTGGGCAATGAGTCGCTTTAGCGGAATCCGGATAATATGTCAGTGCACCTTTTCAGAAAATAATAATATGGTATGTACCGCTTCCGCAAATGGGTTAGAACCACTTCAGCAAACGGGTTAGCATCACTTCCAAAAATGGGTGCACCTACTTCGGCAAGCGGGTTAAGGAAGTGAGTTCATCACCATCCAGTGCCAGATCTGTGACAGACATCGGCGATCATGGTTCTCCATTCATTCCTTTGCTCGGATGCTCTCAAAAAAGCTACGTTTCCCTGATCTTTCCCTGTTACCCGTTTGTTTAGGTTCCTTAAGTATGTTGTTCTGGGCCTGCCCCTGCCTCGCTTGCCCTCAATTGAAAGGGAGTTAAGATTCTGAATTCGGACAATGTTTCATTGATAATTATCCGATTATCCGGATAGATTATCCTGATTTTTCAAACCTGCACCAGTTAGATCTGAGTTGTGTCCCGGCAAGGCTGGTCAGGTACAGCTGATAATTGTGAGGCGTCGTGGTGATAACAGGCACTCGTCAAAATAATAAAATCGAAGAAACCCGCAATTTTTGGCCTTTTGGAATTTCTTGTTCGAATTTTTGTTTTTTTGGCTCAACACCTTGTATGTCCATTCAAAAACATTCTTAAGTATGTATTTTATTTTTAAAAACGTTGATTAATGGCAAAAAAAAATGGAAATTCGCAGTTTCCAAGGACTATTGAGCTATGGAAGTCACCAAACTTTGGCGACCATTTTCTCGCTAATTTTTCTTCTGAAACCAGGCAACCCCACCTCCTTCAATCATAAATATCTCGACGTCTATTCAAGATAAATGGATGGGTGTTTTTTTTTTCATTGCAAGGCCAATAAACAACCTATACGGAGGTACCAATAACTCCTTATACCCAACAATTACGAGCGCCTGATTCCATTACGTCGTGACACAGGTATTCTCGTCTGCGACAGAACGAGACCCGGGCTATCTCCAGGGGAGGCAGAAGAGAGGCGGAAATAGCAAACCCCTCAACCCAGGCGCTGTGTATCGTTTTTATCTTTGGAGGGTTACCGGCCACTAATAATAAATAATAAATAGCATTTGTATAGCGCATATCACCACACGAAAGCAAGCTCTATACGCTTTACACTATATTATTACCTCAGCAGACCATAGAACACTCCGAAACATTCTCAGCTTCCCGGGAAGCATGCAGTGCAAGCAGCTGGTTAAGCGCTCAAACACAAACAAACTGACAAAATCTTTCACTGTCTATAGCCGGGTACCTGTTCCCACCAGGGTGAAGTGAGGAAAAATCGCGTAAAGTGTCTTTCCCAAGGACACTGCGTCGGGCCCGCGACTCGAACCCCGAACCCGCAACCTCACGATTATGAGTCTAGTAGCCTAACCCCTGGGCCACCGACGCCACAATCCGATAATAAGCAGCGAGCTATTTTGTTTAAATTTCGTAATACTTTTCTTCACACAAAACAAACCCGGCTTAAAACTCTTTGCCACCTCATCTCGCCATTTGGCGATTTTTACCATCCAGTTTCTTCGGATCTTCCCCAAAATATGATGGCAAAATAAGATATTATTTTAGGAAATACAATTGTGAGTGTATGCGTGAGTGCACCTAACCTTTGTAACGTCTACTGCCATTGTTAGCGACCAAGACAAATTCTCCCTGCGAGATGTGTAAAGATTGTCATTGTCATATTGTCATTTGTAGAATCTTTGCCCACCTTGTAGAAGCAGATTCTTTTGATGAAGCTGGATAATGAAGATAGGGGGCCCCCTTTTAGATGATGATGTGTCTCCTCTTCTCGCTATCTCGATCCACAAAACGCCCTAATGGCCACAGTTGTATTTCCCGACTGACTCGGTCCCGTGTTGATGACGTCAGTGAGTGCACGGGTCTCTCAAGTCTCGTGAATCTGTTCAGGTCAGTGCGGGTTCAGATTTTCGCCAGTACAAACTTGCCGTTGTCAACCTATTCTTTTACACCACGTCACTGGCAATACGTGGGTCAATGTCCACGAGACCAGACCATTGTGGAAAAAGGTGCTCAAAGGAAGGATGTGGAACAAGAGAGCCAGGGGTAATAATAATAATAATAATAATAATAATAATAATAATAA